CACCATCGGGAGAGCCGCGGACTGGACGGGACTCCGCTTCAATGCCAAGAAGTGCGCATCCCTCCATGTTGACGGGAGCAAGAGGGACCCTGTACTGATGACGGAGTTCCTCATCCAGGGCGAGTCCGTCGTTCCCCTGGCGGAGGGGCAGGCGTACCAGCACCTCGGCACGCCGACAGGCTTCCGCATCCGGCAGACCCCTGAGGACACCATCCGGGAGATCCTGCAGGACGCCACCAAGATCGACACATCCCTGCTGGCGCCGTGGCAGAAGATCAACACCCTCAACACCTTCCTGATCCCCCGCATCGCCTTCGTCCTGAGAGGATCCGCCGTGGCAAAGGTGCCCCTCAACAAGGCGGACAACACCATCTGGCAGCTGGTCAAGAACTGGCTGTCCCTGCCCCGGAGAGCCAGCAACGAGCTCGTCTACATCAAGCACAGACACGGTGGTGCCGGCGTCCCCCATATGGGAGACCTATGTGACATCGCGGTCATCACGCACGCCTTCCGCCTCCTGACGTGCCCGGACACCAAGGTGAAGAACGTTGCAACGACCGCCCTGCACGCCGACACCGAGAAACGAATCGGCAGACCTCCCTCCGACCGAGATGTGGCCACCTTCCTGAGCGGCTCCCTGGACGGCGACTTCGCCCGGGACAGGGGCGATCTCGCCTCACTATGGTCCCGCGCCCGCAACGCCACACGCCGGCTGGGGAAGCGACTGGGCTGCCGCTGGGAATGGAGCGAGGAACGTCAGGAGCTGGGAGTCCTGATACCGCGGATCGGAATGGAGGACAACACCATCGTCGCCCCCGGAGCCAGAGGCGTGCTGGAGAGATCCCTGAAGGCCGCCGTCCACGCGCTCTACATGGACACCCTGAAGAAAAAACCGGACCAAGGTAAGGCCTTCGAAGTAACCAGCAAGTGGGACTCCAGCAACCACTTCCTCCCCACGGGCAGCTTCACCCGGTTCGCCGACTGGCGGTTCATACACCGCGCCCGGCTGAATTGCGTCCCCCTCAATGGTGCCATCCGCCACGGGAACCGAGACAAACGCTGCAGGAAGTGCGGGTACGTCACTGCCCCACGTCCTATGCTGCTGCAAGCCCCATGCCAGAGCCTGACAGCTGCGCCACAACGCCGTCCAGGACCGCCTAGTGAAGGCCATTGACCCGCGCCTGGGAGAGGTCACTGTCAACCGCGCCGTCCCCGGCACCGACAGCCCGCTGCGCCCAGACATCGTCGTCACGGACGAGGTTGGAAAAAAGATCATCCTGGTCGATGTAACGATTCCGTTCGAGAACAGGACCCCGGCCTTCCGTGAAGCCCGAGCCCGCAAGCTTGAAAAATATGCCCCCCTGGCTGACACCCTGCGGTCCAACGGCTACGAGGTTCACACAGATGCTCTGCTTGTCGGGGCCCTGGGTGCCTGGGACCCATGCAACGAACGAGTGCTGAGGACCTGTGGAGTGGGCCGTCACTACGCACGGCTCATGAGACGCCTAATGGTCTCAGACACTATCCGGTGGTCCCGGGACATCTACACAGAACACATCACCGGTCACCGCCAATACCAAGAGTGAGCCGATTGGACCTCGCCCACCTGCAAGGGAGAAGGGACTCGCTAACCCCTCCCCTCGGCTGGGCCTTACCCCCTGAGCCCCGAACCCACCCAACCTCACCGGCCGCCGCCAATTCCAAGAGCGAGCCGGGGAGACCTCGCCCACCCACAGGGGACCTATCAAACCCCCCCCACCACTGGGCCTTACCCCCTGAGCCCCAAACCCGCCCAACCCCACCGGCCACCGCCAAGAGCGAGCCAGGGAGACCTCACCCACCTACAAGGGGGAGGGGACCTTACCCCGAGCCCCAACCCCACCCAACCTCACCGGCCACCGCCGATAACGAGAGTGAGCCGAGGGGACCTTGCCCACCGCAAGGGGGAAGAGGCCTATATACCCCCACCCCCCCCGCTGGGCCTTACCTCTTGAGCCCTGAACCTACCCAACCTAACTAAATCCCACCACGTGAGGGTCGCCCCATCACCATTGCCCAGCCCACCTACCTGTACCCATGGCTATTTGTACCCCCTGTGTGGATGATTGACCCTCACCGCTTAGCAACTGTGTCTTGATCTCGCCCACCGCCCACCCCCCCATTGGAGACATTACAGTTTGTATGTATTATGTGTGCTGCCAACCCCAACATAACAACATCTCCCCCATACTCTGTATGTTCCCCCCAATGATTGACAACTGACTCTTCAAATCTTTTGTACCATTTATTTTTAAATATTCTCTAATAAAATTTAAGTAACTAACTTTTTGTCTTCTGTTTTTACTCTTCAGGGAAATCTGTCGTACAAATATCCAGGCTTATGCGTTAAAGAATAAGAATTAGAGGACTTCTGATGGAATTACTTCCTAAACCAAGCCAGATAGCTAAATTTGACCCCAGTGTGTATAGTTACTACTTTAAAGGAGCTTTTTGTCACACATTGAAGCACATTAGGGTTTAGGCTTAATGCTATCTCTCAACATTAACATCTCAGTTCTTGAACACTCGAAGAACAATTTTTCCAAAAGCCTAGGTTTTTAATAAGCTTTACTAGCTCAATGGGGAAATCTGTGTGGTGCTGCTTAGAAAGCTTGAGGCAAATACACAATCCAAAGAACTTTTAAAATTTATAAAATGACATAGCCAGTCTTCTAATGACTAGATTTCCATCCAGCTCACTTGGCAGGAAACTACCCATGAAAGGCTTAGGTCATAATAACTGGACACTGTTTTATGGTGTGAAGGCACAAAATTGCTGTACTTGATGTACCCTGAATGTGACATTTCAGTGGCTGCACATAGATTCAACAGTACTTGAAAAATGTTTTGAGATCTCAGGATAAAGATGCCTGATAATATTTTTTGCAAGTGTCTAAATTCCATTTTCAGAATCACCTACATCCTGGTGCAAGTCACTTGGACTTGGGCTCCTAAGTGACTTAGGTGCTTTTGAAAATGGGACATAAGCTCCTAAGTGACTTAGACACTTTGATAATTTTACCTGAATTCTTTAGAAAGCAAGGTTTAGATAAAAGAAAGAGCCCTCTAGTTATAAAGGAAATAGTAGCTAGAAATAAACTGTTAAAAAAAATCCCACTTTTTTTGTATAAAACTCCATCTTCACATCTAGTGTCTTCAGTCTAGTGATCAGAAATATTATTGAAATCATCTGCTGATCAAAAATATCCAATCTATAATACTAGTGGGAAAGGAAATGCTAGTTATAAACACTCATCTGTTTGCTGTTTTATTATTTGTATTACATAGCACCTAGAAGCCTTAGTCATGGACCAGGACCCCACTGTACGAGGTGCTGTACAGACAAAACGAAACAGTCCTTGCCCCCAAAGAACTTACAGTCTCAGACAACAGATGGATACAGAGCATGCAGTGCAAGGAAACAATATGGTCAGCATGATAAGCAGTGGTATGAGCACACCAGTGGGCTAGCCGTTGTCAAGGTTATTACAGGTATCATGACAGAGGAGAATTTTAAGGAGGGATTTGAAGAAGGATAATGAGCTAGCTTTGTGGATGTTTACAAGGATCTACTCCCTGTTATATGACACAAACTGAAAATTTTGCACATATCTTAACTGGATTTTGCAGTGTGTTTATCATCAGGCTTTTGGATAATTTACTTAATGTATCATCATACATAGATTGCAATTCTGAATTACATGCAGTGCCCATAATACAGTTTACATGGCTTTATAGTGAATATAAGAAGATAGTATTTAAATCTCAAATGCTGTTCAGATGGAATTTCTTCTTATGTGCTACACTGAATCAGGTTGTAACTATGACAACCTAGCAGACAAAGCTGCACTTTTAGAGCAAAGGTGCTCTTAATATACTGCTGTGTTTAGTCGGGAACAGGTTTAATGTATGAAATGTAATTCCTTTTGTGAGACATTAGTCTTTATTAGCTATATCTGAAACAATTTTTTTTGTTGGCTATAGTTAAGAATGAACTTAATAAAACATACCTGGTATTTCTTATTGAGCTACAAAAGCTTGTTACTAAGCAGAATTTGTATAGCATCCCTTACATTGGGTCGGATCTTGCCTGGGGCTTCCAGGTGCAATTGCAATACAAATAATAATAATAGGAATGGGCTCATTGCATTTCCCTGGCTATTTTTAACATGTTAACTGAAGGTCATTTGCAACAATGAGAAGTAATGTTTTCTTTATAGACACCAAAACAGTTCTTGTTGCTTTTTTCTATTTCCTGTGGAGAAAATGTTTAGATCTGGATGTGGGTGACCAAGTGTAAAAAGCTAGAGTAAGCTCCTACCTTATGGGAGGAAAAGTCCTCTCACGTATACTAGAAAATGATCATCTCCGTCACTCTAGGTTTTGCAGAACCATCCTGTAGAATTCTGTCAGGTAGTTCTAAAATCCTATAGAATTTAATAGCCACTGATGTCTCTTGTGTAGTAATTGCTATAGAACCCTATAGTTTTCTTCCCTACTAACTTCTGTGGGACTTTTTCCAAAAAGGCCATCAATATTCCTGGCTGCCTTCTTGCTGCTCATCCTATAGATGAGCTGACAAGCAAACCTGCAGTCTGATCTGTCTTCAAAGTGTGGTTACAGGCTGCCAGTTGAACAGAGCTACATGAAGGATTTGGGGGCAAATTTTGCATATGGAAGTAGAGTAGTGGCAGAGTATAGTATTAGGTCACATTAGGGTCACTGCTATAGTCCTGGGATTAATGCACACAATAAGCAAGGTATTGGTAGTCAGGGAAACAGCAGGCAGGACTGTTACTTGGAGAGAGGAGAAACAAAATGAAATCATTTCTGCCATCTTTCTGTCAGCTGTTCCCCTGGGTGAAAAGATTATATTACGATTACATGTATTCTTACAGATAACCAGAAATTGGGCTGGAATTTCTGGAATTAATTAATGTTTCTCCAATTTTTCTTCTTAGAGCCACTGGAAAGGAGTTTGCACTGAAGATTATAGACAAGGCAAAATGCTGTGGAAAGGTAGTGTACACCCATTTACATGCGAAAGGAGTAAAAATAGCATTCACAGCTGTTCATTAGTCAAAGTGGTGTGTGTTGGGAGGGGTGGGGTTGGATTTGATAGAACTGTGACTGCTTTCAGAAATATCTGTTTAGCATTAGCAGGATTATTTTCCATCCAAAATGCAAACAATAGAAGTAGTAACACTGTTAATCTAGTAGATAATGGAACAAAAACAAACAAAGATTGTAATTTATTCTATTGGACTAACAAAGAAAATGTGTAGTATTTCCACAATTGTTCTTCCTTCATTGGGCCAAAATGGAATAAAAAGAGAAATGCGAAAGTACAGTATAGGGACTTTGATTGTAAAATCTTTTGAAGGATGAAACGTGTGTGTGTGTGTGTGTGTGTGTGTGTGTGTGTGTCCAGCACCTAGCATAATGGAACCCAATACTGATTATGAAGGCAATTCAAATTATAAAGGCCCCAAAGTATGTCATGACTCACATCAACAATAGTAACCATTGTAAGCAAAGTTAATATGGGATAAATTCCTACAGTCCTTATTCAGTCAAAATACCCTATTCTTTTTCGAGTGCTTGCTCATGTCGATTCCATTTTAGGTGTATGTGTACCAACATGCACAGTCGTCTGAGATTTTTGCCTTAGCAGTATCCGTAGGGTTGGCTGTGGCACCCCCTTGAGTGCTGCGTCCATGTGCTGGTATCTAGGCGCCGCCAACCCTATGCCCACTCAGTTCCTTCTTACTGCCCGTGACGGTTGGTTGGAGTGCCTTGTCTTGCAATCGCAAGAGCGTTAGCGGTTCTTCAACAGCCCATTGTCTGTCATCTTCGTATATAGTTTAGGTACTTAGTTAGCTTTTAAGTTAAGAGTTAGGTTAGTTTGGTAGTTAGAGTCCAGGCTGGGACTTTGCCCCAGAGTGAGGCACACCCCGTTCTCCCAGATTCAAACCATGCTCGTCATACAACAGGCTGATGCGTATTAGTGACCCCCATGACCGTTGTCTGAAGTGCTAAAGAACAAGAAGGCCGACCGGTGAAGGCCCCAATGCCTAAGGGCAAGCTGATTATGGGACTGCCCCATAGGGTCCCTGGACCGCAGATGTAAATCCCAGTCTCCGCAGCCTAGGACCCTGGCACCGCATTCCTGGTCTCCGGTCAAAAGGCCCAAGTCCCCGACGCCACGTTCTCCCACTACGAGACATGGGACACCGGGGTTGAGGCACTGGTCCCTGTACCACCGGTACCAGCGAGCTTCTCATGAAAGATCGCCACGGCGCAAATCACCCTTGCCCAGACGGTCTTTCAGACAGCCGTTCCCACTGGGGCAGGATTGCTCCTGGTCATGGCACCAGTCTCCATCCCCCCGGTTCTGCGCACTGGGCAGGCACCGATTCTCGCCTCGTAGGTCACCGACCAGGGTCAGCCGGCAGACTCATGCATCAATGGCTCCGCCCTGGTCACCGGAAGGGCAATGGTCGGACTCGGACTGGAAGTTCAGCCCCTTTGCAAGGAGGGGTGATTCGCTGCCGACCCGCAAAGCCAGCACGGCACCTGCCACGACGGCATGGCAGCAGGGACAGTGGCCTGCTCAATGGCCGTACTGGAACCCGTGGGGTGTGCCCATAATGTCAATCCCGTATTCCCACCAGTCCTCCCTGGCAGCCTCGGACAAACTGCCCCCTGGGGCACGGTGCCAATTCCAACATCGGGGTAGCACATCGGACTCCAGCACCTAAGGAGCCGTCCCTTCCCCGTCAGTGCACTTGTCCTTGTTGTCTCCGGACGAAGTGGTGGCGGGGCCCCCCCCGAGGGGCCACCCCCCCCCCCCCCCCCCCCCCCCCAAATGACTTCAAGGAGCACCAGGCTGTTCTTAAGAGGGTGGCTACCAACTTGAACTTAAAAATTGAAGAGGTCGCAGAGGAGTCTGACTTCTTTAACATATCCTCCTCCAACAAGGCCCAGATTGCACTGCCTGTCCACCCAGGGGTCCTTAAGATTGCCAGATTGCTGTGGCAGATCCTCTCTTCCATTCCGCCGACTTCTAAGAAGGTAGAAAATAAGTATTATGTCCCTGCAAAAGGGTTCAAATACCTGTGTATACACACCCTTCAGCAGTGTCACTGGTCATGTTAGCTGTTAATGAAAGAGACAGGGCCAAGTCAGTGGCACACTGAAAAACAAAGATGCCTGGAGACTGGACTTATTTGGCAGAAAGATTTATTCAATAGCAAAATTGCGATTTCGGATATCTCACCACCAGGCCCTGTTAGGCAGGTACAGTTTTAACCTGTGGGACTTCCTTAATAAATTCAAGGAGGCTCTCCTGCAGGACCGAGCCTAGGGGTTCGCTGCTTTGGTGGACGAAGGCACAGCAGTGGCAAGGGGGGCCCTTCAGATGGCCTGGGACGCTACTGACTCAGCAGCCAGGGTGGTTGCCTCTGCAGTGGCCATGAGGCACAGCTCCTGCTTGCAGTCCTCTGGGTTACCCCAGGAGATGCAGGCCACTCTACAGGACCTCCCGTTTGAGGGAATGGGGCTCGTCTCCAAGCTCATGGACTTGAGACTCCATGGCCTTAGAGACTCCTGTGCCACCCTCTGCTACTTGGGCAGCCATACTCCTCTGCAGGCCAGGAAACTGTTATGCCCTCACCTCCTCCACTTCCCCAGTCCAGGTCTTGGGGGACTCCCCGGGTGGGCACCTACAGGAGAAAGGATAGAGACAAGGGGTCTAAGTGGCGACACCCGTCCTCTTTCCATTCGTCTGCTCATCCTGGGCCTTCCAGAAGCCCAGGAGGCCAGAAGCAATCATTTTGAGGGTGCGCTCGAGGGTGACACCCCAATCACTTCCCCGGATCCACCCTCCCACTCTTTCCTCAACCACCTCCATCCTTTCCAGTCAGTCTGGTCTCAGCTGACCTCGGACCGTTTGGTGTTCAAAGTAAAATCATCATGTTTACCCTTCCTTCCACCTCCCTTCCCTGTTCTCCTTCAGGGACTCGTCTCACAAGCAGCTCCTCATCCAAAAGGTCGAGAACCTCCTGTGCTTGGGGGCAGTGGAGGAGCTCCCTTGGGACATGAAAGGGAAGGGGTTCTAATCCCATTACTTCCTGATCCCAAAAGCAAAAGGGGGCCTCAGACCCATCTTGGACCTGAGTTGTCTCAACAAGGTCTCTCAAAAAGTTGAAGTTTCACATGGTCTCCCTGGTCTCCATCATCCTCTCCCTGGACTGGGGAGACTGGTACACCGCCCTCGACTTGTGTGTATGTCCACATTTCCATTTTCCCGGGGCAGAGGCGCGTCCTTCATTTTACGCTGGGCCAGCGCCATTTCCAATTCATGACCATTCAGTCTCTCGTCAGTCCTGAGAGTGTTCACGAAGTGCATAGCACCAGTGGCCGCTTACCTGAGGCACTGGGGTGTTCAAATTTACCCGTACCCCAATTACTGGCTAATAAAGGGTCAGTCCTGGGATCAGGTGCAGCAGCATCTCGATCTGGTTTGTTCCACTTGTTGTGACCCGGGGCTGTTAATAAACAAGAAAATGTTGACCTTAAGTCCAGTGCAATGCATAGAGTTTATTGGAGCAGTCCTCGACTCTACTCAGGCCAAAGCCTTCCTCCCTGAGGCTTGGTTCCAAGCCATGGCGGACCTCATCTTGTGCATTCAAGCCCACCCCTCACCACCGCTCACACATGCCTGTGATTGTTGGGCCACATGGCGGCCTGCATTTATGTGGTCCGACATGCATGACTCCGTCTGAGGCCCTTGCTGGCGTCAGTCTACATCCCCAATAGACACAGCATGGACTGGGTGGTCAGGGTCCCAGACCATGTACTGTTGTCACTCACCTGGTGGCAGAATCCAGCACTGATGTTGGAGGGGGTTACCTTTGTGGCTCCATCACCGTTGGTGACCCTCATCTTTGATGCTTTGGACCTGGGGTGGGGAGCCCACTGGAGCAATCTCAGCATGCAAGGCCATTGGTCGAGTTATGATTGCTCCCTACACGTTGTCAGGGAGCTCAGAGCAGTTCGCCTGGCCTGCCAAGCCTTCCTACCTCTCATAAAAAGCAGGCTGGTCCAGGACCTGAGGGACAACACAACAACTATGCTCTGTATCAACAAGCAAGGCAGAGCCAGATCATCTGCTCTTTGCCGGGAAGCTCTCAGGCACTGGGACTTCTGTGTACAACATGACATCCATCTCATAGCCACACATCTCCCCAGAGCCAGGAAGACTTTGGCAGATCGCCTCAGCGGGGCTTTCTCATCTTGCCACAAGTGGTTCTGCCATCCTGAAGTGGTCAGCATCATCTTCCAGAGGTGGGGGACTCCCCAGGTAGACCTGTTCATGTCCAGGCAGAACAGGACATCCCCATTTTCTGCTAAATTTGGGGGATTGACAGAGGCTCCCTGTCAGACGCTCTTCTACTTCCGTGGTTGGGGGCTCCGTTGTATGCTTTCCCCCCCCCATCCCCCTTCCCGGCACAGTGTCGTTAATTCACAAGGTCCTCATGAAGATCAAGCAGGACAGGGTGAAGGTGATCGTCATAGCGCCGGCCTGGCTGCACCAGCCCTGGTTCAGCATGCTTCTTGACCTCTTGGTGGCTGCTCCGTTACAGCTACTGCTCAGGCTGGTCCTAGTGTCCCAAACTATGGCAGTCTTCTGCATCTGAACCTGGTGGCACTGCATTTGACAACTTGACTGCTGCATGGTTAAATGCAGAGGAGCAGGAGTGCTCATCTGGTGTCCAATCGGTCCTCTTGGGCAGTAGAAAGCCTTTCACCAGAGCGACCTACCTGTCCAAATGGAAGGGGTTTGCTTGTTGAACCTCGGGTAAAGGCATTTGTCCCAAGCGGGTCTCACTGCAGTTAATCCTGGGCTACTTTCTGCATCTCAAGCTCCAAGGCCCATCCCTTTCATCTATTAAGGTCCACTTGGTTGCTATCTCGGTGTTCCATCCGTCGCTCAAGGGTAGGTCGGTTTTCGCCCAGGACATGACTGCCAGGTTCCTCATGGGCCTTGAGCGCCTCTATCCGCACATCAGGAGACTCATCCCTCCATGGGACCTGAATCTTGTGCTATCATGGCTCATGGGGCCCCGCTTCAAGCCTCTGGCTCCCTGCTCTCTTTTCCTCCTTTCCTGGAAGGTCGTATTCTTGGTTGCAATAACATCTGCCCACCAGGTCTCGGAGATTAGGGCACTTACCTCAGAGCTGCCCTATATAGTCTTTTACAAAGACAAGGTCCAGCTTCGGCCTCACCCAGCTCTCCTGTCCAGGGTGGTCTCAGTTTCATACAGGCCAGGACATTTACTTACCTGCCTTTTTTCCAAAGCCGCATAAGTTGGAGGAGGAGCATAGATTGCATTCCCTAGATGTCAGGAGGGCACTAGCCTTCTACATTGAAAGGATCAAGTCAACGCAGTTGTTCATCGTGGTGGCCGACAGGATGAAAGATCATCCAGTGTCCACTCAAAGAATTTCTTCTTGGATCATTGCCTGCATTCGCTGCTGCTACAATCGGACACAGGTGCCACCTCCAGCGAGCCTTACTGCCCACTCAGCCAGGGAGCAAGCCTCTTCGGCAGCTTTCCTATTCAAATGCCTATCTAGGACATCTGTAGGGCGGCCACCTGATTGTCCATCCACACATTCACGTCCCATTCACACTTACCCAGCAGGCCCAGGACTATGCTGGCTTCGGTAGAGCAGTACTGCCAGCTGCTACCAGGGGTTCTCAAACTGGGGGTCAGGACCCCTCAGGGGGTCACGAGGTTATTACATAGGGGGGTCGTGAGCTGTCAGCCTCCATCCCAAACCCCACTTTGCCTCCAGCATTTATAATGGTGTTACATATATAAAAAAGTGTTTATAACGGGGGGGGGGGGTGTCACATTCCTAGGCTTGCTATGTGAAAGGGGTCACCAGTACAAAAGTTTGAGAACCACTGCACTAGACTATGAAATCTGAGCCCACCTCCATTGATACTGCTTGTGAGTCACCTACAATGGAATCAACATGAGCAAGCACTTGAAGAAAAAACAGTTACCTACCTTTTCATAACTGTTCTTCAAGATGTGTTGCTCATGTCTATTGCATTCCCCACCCTCCTATCCCTCTGTCGGAATTGCTGGCAAGAAGGAGCTGAGAGGGCATAGGGTCGGCGGTGCCTCATATACCGCCATATGGGCACGGCACACAAGGGGGCGCCAGAGCCAACTCTACGGATACCGCTAAGGTAGGAATCTCTGACTGTGTACGTAGGTGCACACACGCATAGAATGGAATGAACATGAGCAACACATTTAGAAGAACAACAGTTACGAAAGGTAGGTAACAGGTTTTTTTCTTCTTTGGGGCTAAAGACAATTGGAGTGGGCCCCCAGTGATTTGGCAAGCATGGAAGTTTTAAAATAAATAAGACATCTTCCTTATATTCCTATTTTACCTAAAACTTCTGCCTTGTCCCTTATTTTTCCATCTTGGTTGCAGCACCCCCTTCCTTGACCTATATACAGCTGGACTTTCGAAAACAGCATTCTATTGACTAGTGATAACACCCTATCCCTTACAAATAACATTTATTCTAAAATTGTTGTTTAAGCTTTAAGTGGTGAATTTAAAAGTTCAGATTCTGTCAGCTGGGAAACACATCAAACCCCTTTCCTGTCTTATTCCCAGGTGTCACAAGCAAATGTTATAGAATTGAGGCCAGTGTCTTTATGAGCATTGCAGGCACAAATTGGGAGGATTCTCTTGGCTGTTTTCTCTTCCCCACTAGGGTGGGAGACTTTCTTGGGAGTTTCTGCTGCTATACTGATGCTACCCAAGATCTGTTGATCTTGCCATGTCTGGTTGTCTAGTGGATGAAAAAGAATAGTACACAGGTGTTTCAGACTGAAGCATTATGAACACCAGCCTACTGGACTGATTGTGGGACAATTCCTAAGCAGGGAGGCCTGAAAGAAACAGAATCTGGATCTAAAAAAAGTTATTGGACTGAATTTTCGAAAGCATAGATAATAATTAACTATTAATAAAACATTTCTGGGGGAGCAAGGCTGGCCCAGTTGGGGCACTGGCTTGGGATATGGGAGATCCAGGTTCAATTCACAGTTCCACCACAGACTTCCTGTGTGACTCTGGGCAAGTCACTTAGAAAATTAAGAAGCAACAAATATAAAACAGTAAAGAAGTTCTTTTTCTAATGCAATATAATTAACCCCTGGAACTTGCTGTTGAAATCTATCAAGTTTCAAGACCGTTTTAGACACTTTTATCCCAACTAGTGTACTTGCAGATGCTATTCTTCATATGGGGGTGGGGGCAGGAGAAGGGGGAATAAAACCTAACCCTAGCACAATATCAAGCTGTTGGAGCCAAAACAATTTCCGAACTTAAATGGGTAAGTAGTTTTCAGGTTCTAAATATAAATATTAAACCAAACAAAAAATAAAACCCATGAAGTTGGCATCTATTTTGTAAGAGATCAGGTCTGGAAGGAAATACAGTGGTATTAAGTGAAGGTTAAAATGTGTCATTTCACCACAGCTCTGCAGTATAAGTAATATAGTGAAAGACCTGACTCTGTGTGTGTGTGTGTGTGTGTGTGTGTGTGTGTGTGTGTGTGTGTAAAAATTAAAAAAAAAAAAAAAACAGGAAAGCTATCACCTGGAAGTTTTACTGGGAGTTCATTGTCAATTAAAATAAACTTTCTTTCCTCCTTTTCCTGACTAAACAGGAGCATCTGATAGAGAATGAGGTATCCATACTGCGCCAAGTGAAACACCCCAATATTATCATGCTGATAGAGGAGATGGACACTCCAACAGAACTCTATCTGGTAATGGAGTTAGTTAAGGTAAGACTTTCAAGGAATTTTCTTCTTCATTTATCTACACATAATGTGAAGTCTAGGAAGATTCCAATATCACACAGCTCTCAGGAGACATAATCAGATAAGCATTTTGATGAGAACTTCCAATTAATCATGCAAATACTGTTGTTAAATTCCATTAAAATGAACTATTGTTATAATAAAAACAACAACGAGTCCGGTGGCACCTTAAAGACTAACAGATTTATTTGGGCATAAGCTTTCGTGGGTAAAAAGCCCACTTCTTCAGATGCATGGAGTGAAAAATTATGCCATGCATCTGAAGAAGTGGGTTTTTTACCCATGAAAGCTTATGCCCAAATAAATCTGTTTAGTCTTTAAGGTGCCACCGGACTCGTTGTTGTTTTTGTGGATACAGACTAACACGGCTACCCCCTTATAATTGTTATCATTTTTCACCTGGCATTAGACTATTCACATAGCAGGGATTCAAGGTGCTTTTTGTAAGGTAAGTGCCCAATCTAAAGAGAAATACAAATATAGAACAAGAAGTTATTTGTAACTTTTTAAATTACATTGTTATATCATCACAACACACAGTAAACATGTCACCAGCTTGCAACATTTTTCTCCATCAGCTTTTCTTATTTAATCATTCACATAGAGCGGTGTGAATTACTGGGTTTGCAATTAATCTATATCCTAAAGACAACAGACACAATTACTAAATAAGTTACACTCCTCTTCACAGACACAGTCCAGAAGCACAAATCTCTCCACTTCAGCTAAAGGAGATCTCCAACTGCTGGCAGATCTACAGCTGGTGGTAGTAATGTTGCTTATCTTCTGTGGGCTGAACGTTAGATATGCTGTCACAGAGAGAAAAATCTTGTGAGCTCCACTTTGCTGACATTGGAGAGTGATACTGCTCTCTTGTGAGCCAAAGGCATTATGAAGCACCTCCATAGAAACATTTTAATGCATAGCATGAACATGTTACACAAACCAGGGGTTTTTGGCATATTACTCCTGGGCAGTTTTGTGCCACTGTGCAAAGCGCAGATCATAGAATCAAAGGGTTGGAAGGGACCTCAGGAGGTCATCTAGTCCATTGGTCCTGCTCAAAGCAGGACCAATCCCCAGATAGGGATTTGGGGAAAAAAAAAAAAAAAAATCTAACTGGCCCTCAAGGATTGAACTCACAACCCTGGGTTTAGGAGGCCAATGCTCAAACCACTGAGCTATCCCTCCCCCCTGAATTAATGTCCCTGGCAGATTTTACTCTTTCCCCACCGGTAAAATTGATTCATGCCCCCCTCCTGGGCAGCGGTCAGGGGGCGGGAGGGAGTCTGGTTTGGCTGTCGGGAGCAGCAGGGGGAGCTGTCAGTCACTGCCTTGGAGGCTGGGCTCTCTCTGTCCCTCTCGCTCGCTATCAAGGAGCACCCAGAGCCGGGAGGGGCAGGAGTAGGGGAGCCTGGGTGAGTGGCACCTACCCTGCACTGGACTCCAGCTGCTAATCCCAGCTGGGCTGAGGAAATGGGACTTCCTCTGACCCTGCATGGGCCGGGGCCAGGTCAGACCCATCCCCAGGAACTTCCCTGGGCTTCAGGAAGCTCCTCCCCAGCTTCCTGTCCTCATCACTCTCCAGCTATGGGGGTGGGGGTCACTGTACAGCGAGCTGCACCCCCAAATGCCCAACCCCGAGGCATCTGAATTTCCCCCCGCACCCAGACCACTCCCTGCTGAGTCGCCTGCACTCGAATCCCCACTGTGCCGAGACTCACCCCCCTGCACCAAAATAATAGAAAATGGTGTAATTATAATGTTTTGACAAAATATGCACAATTTTGCAGAATTTTTAATTTTTTGGCGCAGAACTCCCTCAGGAATAGCATATGTAGCAGCAAAGAAGGCAGAATGACTTGCAGAATTATTGTTTAAAAGGAAACACCTGAAAAATATTATATAGAAGAAAGATAGATCCCCTGTTACAATACTTAGCATATTTTCCCCATCATAAAATAAGAAAATATACAAATATACTGAAACAATCCAGAAATTTCTATGTGGCATAGGTCTGATATTTCTTAGTCGCTTGTTTTGTGACAAGATAATGAATAATTTGAGTGTCTAGGCCATCTGAGTTAGATTTATAAACCCGTATCAAATCTGAGGTTTCTCTCACACATGCTTGCACGCAAATGTACATTCTTATCTCTCGTACAGGAACAATAGCAAACATGCAAACTAGTCTATATGTTAAAACAACAGCAGTAAACCCAGACTTTATCATTTATCATTATATTGGATAAAAGTATAAATCAACATTTCAGAAGGTATTGCTATCTAAAAATTTCACTGTACTCAAGAAACTTTTCCACAACATCTGTTTGCTTGAAACCCCCTGGTGAAGGTCTGTGGCTACTGGCTCAGTACCACAGCTTCATTTCTGGCTATCTCTAGAAACAGTTTTTATGTGGCAGATGGCTTTTTTGTTTTTAAGATGGAATTTTTTTAAAAAAAGGGTAATCTTTGAATATATATCCTGAATTGCTGCTGCTTTCACATGTGCTACAATGCTTGGAATTCCACCCACAACCCAGCCAAGTCACTCCCACGCTTGTATCCAAGGTAACCATCATAATGGCACACAACTTAAATTAACTGCAGCAAGTGGAAATGCCATATAAATTAAAATATTTCTTTACTACTGTTTTTAAAAATGCTGTTACATACCCCTGAGCTATAATGGATGCTGGTAGGATATTGCACAACAGGTATGCTCAAAAAACACCAGACAGACTCTGCCATATATTGCATGGGGCAAATATATTGTAGAATGCAGCACTGTTATCATCCTGCCTCATTCTTATTTATTTTTACTTTTCATAATGTTTGCACTAAGTATTTCTAACATGTACTTATGTAATTATTATTGAGTATTTGCATTACAGCATCATCTAGAGGCTCCAGCTGCTAGGCACTGTACAAACAAATAGTTCTGTAGTACCCTGACGAGTTTATAATGTAAATAGACAAGACAGTCAAAAGCAGGGAGAAAGGAAGTGGTGGTATCCTCCTCTTAGTGTTGGGGAACTGAGGTGCAGAGTGGTGAAGTGACTTGCCCAACGACACACACACAAGCCTGTTGAGTATCGAACACAGATACCTGAGTCCCAGTGCCTCAGTCTACAAGTTCATCCTTCCCTACCATGATAGCTGTTTCCAAGGGCTTGTCTACATGAGGAAAAAGGCTGCAGTAGCTGGTGCACTTTGGAACTGTACTAAGCTAAACCACGTGAGGTCACGCTTAGTACGCAGTAAGTGGGTCCACACAGAGAGTTAGCGAGGAGTTGCTAGTGTGCTTTAAACTCACACCCTAGCTTACTGTGCACCAACTTCTCCATGTAGACAAGCCTCGAGTGGTGCAGCCTATCTTCCCCGTATAATACATGACAGGTTTTTGTGCATGCCTTTGGTGCAAGGATGTTGAAGTATGGCTTTCTCTGACATCTTTTCAGCAGTCTGACTAGAGTATTGACACCTGATGATTTTTCTTGTCATTGCCTTTGATGTTTTCCCTTACTTTAGGGAGGAGACCTATTTGATGCTATCACTTCTTCAACAAAGTATACAGAGAGAGATGGTAGCGCAATGGTCTACAATCTAGCCAGTGCACTGAAATACCTCCATGGTCTCAACATTGTGCACAGAGACATTAAGCCAGAGAATCTCCTGGTATGTCACTTGTTTTGTCATGCTTTCCATTGCTTCATCCCCCACAAATGTAAATGTTTGTATGTAAATGTTAAGATGCCAAGGAGCTGAACAATCACAGACATAGAACATGAATTTAGAATGACTGCATGCTTAAAATAAATCTCTTTCCATTAAATATTAATAGACATAGGGAAAGTGATCTGTGCTTAATGTGCACTAGACTCTAGACCTATCATTTACATTTTGATTCCTGGCTCTGACTTGGATAAGCACAAAACAGGGTTTAAAAATGTGTTAATGAATTATTTACAATCCTAGTTTCAATTTAAAACAAGGGTTTTAATCCCTTTCTGAAGATCCCAGGGTTATTTGAAGTAAGATATTTCCTCTCCCATCGCCACATCTGGTAAAATCTTTTTGATGACTTCTCAGTATCCTAGCTATAAACTCTGAGAGTACATTTATTTCCTCAGAAGGAACTATATTTCATTTCCATTAGTTCCCATCAGGGACATAAATATCTACTGCTCTGTGCCTGATAGCAACAAATATTGTGGATTCTGTTTTACAAACTCCAAGTGGAAATTGGCAGTGGAGTGAGTGCCTTATTCCCTGCTGCTTTGTAGCTTATATAGGCGTAGTATGCAAAAGGTTACTAAGTCACTGACAGCAGAGGTAGTGTTTAACACCCACATTGCACAGGTGTAAATAACTACCTACAATGCAAGGCACTGGACAACCAAATCCAGAATCCACATCACAGGCTTGGTGTCATCAGTAACTGGAAGCCTTATGTGTTGGGTTATTTAAGCTTTGTTTGTCAGTCCTGTTAATGGTATAATGAGATTGCACCAAAGGGGAAGCTGATAAAAGGGATTTATGTCTCTTACTCCAGCAGTGGCATTTGAACAAGCACAGACAACAGGGCTGGAACTTGCAAACTCTTAGGGTATGGCTACACTACGCAGCTTTTAGCAACATGGCTGTGCCGCTACAGCGCTGCCGCTAAAAACCACACAGTGTAGCTGCTCTTTGTCGGCAGGAGAGAGCACTCCTGCCAACAAAGCGCTTTTAGTCGGTAAAACTTTTGTCATTCGTGTGTGTGTGTGTGTGTGTGTGTGTGTGTGTGTGTGTGTTTTTAACACCCCTGAATGACAAAAGTTTTGCCGACAAAGTTCCAGTGTGGACAAACCCTTACTAAATTAAAGAGTCCTTTCTTACCCCAGCAGTCCCAATGACGACAGCGAGTAAGGATTTCCAGGACTCGGTCCTTCCTTTAGCAGTGAAATTTGAGGAAAAAAATATGTATTCAGACCTTACTTAATAAATTTTTAGTTGCAAGGTATGTGGACACTGGGTTGTTGAGCTGTGGATACAGGGATTCTAACATGGGGGTTTTTATTATTATTATTTATTTGGTACTCTTTATTTTGTGCAAGTATTGCTATTCTTCATGGATGATACTGATTTAAAAAAATTATACTAAATATAACCTTATGTGAAGTGGCTATAATGTTGTATAAACACACTGCAATCTAAATGAATAGTGACCCTTTAACAATAGAGCCTGAAAATTTTCTGGCAAAAAAATACCCTTTGCAACTTTGAGGTAAGGGAGAGAAAAACAGAAGATGGTGGTTTTATCTTCAAGTGTATCTCAAAGCTTAGCCACTCTGAAGATTGCATGTTCATGCTGAATTAATTTCAATCTAGTGTGCTGGTCCAGAAGCAAACAAGAGTGCGCACAGTTTTAGTGGCAGCCCGTGGCATGCCATAGTTGATCTCGTTCATTTTAAAATAATAACGTGGTGACATCAGGATCTTGGGTGGATTGGAGTTCTGAGGCTAATCTGACATTTTAAGCCTCCATTAGTAATCGAATCAGGTATAAATAGGCACAAACACCGTTTTTGCCTAGAAAGCTTAACGAGATTACTCAACAGTTGCAAGTCTTATTCATTGAGATTGACATTGGCTTGCATGTTAAGATAACATAATAGAAGTGCATGTAAATGTAAATGTGTCAATTGCTTTTATACTAACCAGTGTTTCAATTCTTTAACCTGAGATCATCCAGATGTCTGATTTTCATTCTTTTTACCAATCATACACTCATAAATACAAACTGTGTTGTCATTGACACATGTGAAATTATATCCGGGAGCACAAAGGTTTCCATTAGAGCTGTGAATGATAACAGGGTGATGATTAAGGCTATGTTTTAGTCATGGGTATTTTTAGTAAAAGTAATGGATAGGTCATGGACAGTGAACAAAAATTCACGGACCGTGACCTAAATTCCCTGTGAACTGCATGGCCGTGCAGCAGCCTGTTTAGTGCTGCGCAGATGCTCAGGGAACCCGCCAAGCTGGGACCTGCTGGGGGAGGGACCTACCGGGGGAGGGACGCCCCAGCCCCGGACCTGCTGGGGCACCTCTCCCCCGGCCCCAACTCAGCCCCAGACCTGTTGCCGCCAGGGGAGGGGCAGCCCGAACCCAGCCCTGGCCCGGACCGACTGGGGCAGGTGCTAATTGGTTCAAATCTTCACATCAACTTGGGCGCTATTTGGTTCGTATTCTCATGCCTCATTGTGGAGAGGACTCTGATTGGTTTAGAGCCGTGAAGGAGCGTAGACTATCAGGCACCTCCTGCTGGTCTGGCCCGTCCACTCCAGGACGTAATTTCACTAGGAGGGTGGTGAAGCACTGGGATGGGTTACCTAGGGAGGTGGTGGAATCTCCATCCTTAGAGGTTTTTAAGGCCCTGCTTGACAAAGCCCTGGCTGGGATGGTTTAGTTGGTGTTGGCCCTGCTTTGAGCAGGGGGTTGGACTACATGACCGCCAGAGGTCTCTTCCAACCCTAATCTTCTATGATTCTATGATAATGGATGCTGGGACTTGCAGTCTGTGCTGGCCCACACGCCCTGGCTCCGGAGAGAAGACTTTGTGATTGGTGCTCATTGGGCGATGAAAGGTCGTTGCTAAGGTAGAGGTGCCAGTGGGCGGGCTGGCCTCCCCTCCCCCAACCCAAACTCAGCTCTGGCCCGGACCTGCTGTGACCGGGGAGGGGCCCCTATCCTGCTGCCCCAGCCCCGGAGCTGCTGCGGCGGGGAGAGACACCTCTCCCTCCCAGGTGCTGCTGCAGGAAGAGAGAGCTGGGGGGAGTCCTCTCTCCCCGCAGTAGCCCCAGGGCACCCTCCTGCACCCCAAATCCCTCATCCCCAGACCCACGCCAGAGTCCACACCCCCAGCCGGAGCCCTCACCCCGCAACCCCCCCACACCCCAACCCTCTGCCTTGATTCTAAATAGATTAAAAAAAACAACAGGTATCACTATGAGAATTTTTGAACTACCACTCTTGTGAGAATTCTATAATTAATGTTTCTGGGCCTTTTGCTCTCTCTGCAAAAACAATTAACTAATGAATACTATTCCCAGACTTATGCTGACAAATCGGTGATCCAGCTGTACAAAACTGGAAAGAAGCAAAACTTTTGTTCAGTTCTGAACACGGGTGGGAAAAACCCTCCTCCATGCTTGTTAAACTGAAAAGGACAAAATGGAAAATATTTATCTTCAAATCTGTAACAAGTAATTCCAAATCATGGGTAGTTGGGTTTTTTTATATAAAAATCACTTGACAATATACTTTAAATAGGATCCTACTGATCTGCTTGTAACTCTTCACTGAAAACTTGAAAATAAAATGTTCTCCCAATGAATGTCTCTCTCTCAATTTTGCAGAATTGTCCTCTTGCTACTTTTTCCCCCTTTTTTTTTTTTTTTACTGTCACAAATTGTCTTCATTTTGTTTGTTTCCTTCCTGCTTGCACAGGTATAGCATATGTCATTGTTGATGCTAGCAGGAATATGTACCCGTTAGTTGCCATTATTGGAATCCTTAGATTATTATTTACACTAGTTTATTTAAGAAATTTAATAATTTGTAATATATGTTAGTAGGTGGAAAATATTGTGTGAGGTTATTGGAAAATGAGTGGCTTTTAAAACACACTGTGACTTTGCAAATAAAAACATAGTTATATAAGTAAAGGTTGACTATGGCATGTTAATTTAACTTGCTCTCTTCCTCAATTGTTGATATATTTTTTGTTTTTTTTACTGTAATCATATTCACTAGTGCAAGCAAACACGAATAAGTAGATCGGGCATAGTTATCACTTACAAACAATGGGCCCAATTCTGGCCACTCTTGCATAGGTGTGATTTCTCACTGATGCTCCAGCCCTGCTAACTCTCATGTAACTCTACCCACATGAGTTGTTCCATTGGCTTCAGTAGGAGTAGTTGCATGAGTAAAGCTATGCACATGTGTAAGTATTTGCAAGATTGGGGTTTTAGTAAGACATTACTTACTCATTTTAGTCATTATTACTGCTTACATCAGTGAAGAGAGGGAAAAATTAGGCCCAGTTTTTAGGAAGAAACAATAGACATTTTGTTAAAATATGTAAAGCAATAGTTCACCCTTCAGCTACATAAATATGGGGAGGGATCTTGTCCCTAGCCTCTGTTTGCCAGAAGCTGGGAATGGGCGACGGGATGGATCACTTGATTACCTGTTCTGTTCATTCCCTGGCATTGACCACCATCGGAAGACAGGATACTGGGCTAGATGGACCTTTGGTCTGACACAGTATCGACGCTCTATGTTCTTAACATCCTGTCATCTGTAACAATATTATCTGTGCTATAAATGGCAGCACAGGTTACTAGGTAGAAACTTTTATGTCCTATCCGGATCAAGAATAGGGCTAAATTCTTTAATCTTTGGAAGATTTTTATGACTTTTGATAATTCAGGGATAAAGAAATGTATGTTCAGCTCTTGTTGTAGGGGCCATAGAAGTCAGCAGTGTATTTCATTAGTCCCAACCAGAGTAGCTTTTATATATACGATGAGCATCAATAGTTAGAAATGCTTTATTACTGCTATAATTTTAGCCAGATCCCAAAAAGAACCCTTACAACATTATAAGGCTTATTATACATTCCAGAAATCTCTGTGTACAGAAATGATTAGAGGAACTACATGCAGGAATTTGCTCAGAGGCTGAATGTAATGAGTAGTTTTAAACACCAATACTTCTAAATCAGATTTAAGTGCAATTTGTAAACACAATGGGCCAATCTCATTTGAATTTACGCTGGTAAATTTGGTATTTACAGTACTGAAGACTAACTCCATTTAAGTTAAAGTAGTTACTCAAGCTTTACACTGGTGTAAGTGAAAACAGAGTCTGGCCCAGATTATTCTCATCTGCAAGAATAATAAAGTGTCACTGTTGTGCCTGTATATTTATTCCAGTCACTTTGAGAAGTTATTGTGTATTGCTGCCTCGGTGACTTGGAAGATTTACAACAAGCAGTAACAATTCCTGTTTTATAAATCAACTGTCAGCAATCCAGGGAGCAGTTCTAATAATGCTCCAGAGTGTCTGTATACAGTGTAATGTGTTAGGGGCCCCTCTTTTCAAGTAGTCTGGTAATAGGCTTTTCTTTCAATTTTGAATGGTGATTTGAGTGTTGTGGATTACAGAAAACAGTTGCTAAATGATGTCTTTGATACTGTCTTCAGGTGACCCATTGGGATTCAGTGCATATTAAGCATGCAAAGACTTTGCTATATTTTTAGAACTGTCCTTGAAGCATTTAGTGCAAATGAAAATGTGTGTGTGTGTGTGTGTGTGTGTGTGTGTGTGTGTGTGTGTGTGTGT